TATATTCCAGAAGATGTGGCATGAAGCAGAAAAATTCTAAGCATCTCAACTTTCCTTGATTTCCATGAGAACAGGAGTCAGAGATCAGCATTTTAAACCTTGAGCATCTGGGGAGTTTAACACTCCTTTTTTTCCTTTCTGAAAATCTTTGTTATGAAGCATGTAAAGAAAGGACTAGAAGCATCTTTTACTACAATTACCTATACACACATTTCTGTTTTTATTTGTTTGTTTGTTTTTATAAATCTAGAACAGCAAAACAATGATTGCAAGGCCAAAATGCATTCAGTTCAAACTGCAATGCTGTGTATTTTTAGCTACATGAGACTAGAAGATGATAATGGATCTTTTCTGCTAATGCACCATCATCTTCCTTTTTAGCTACATTAGGAAAGACCTTCTTTTCTTAAATTTCGAGAAAATGAAAATTTTCTACAAATGTTTTAAAGCTTCTCACAGGCAGGTCATCATACTCTTCATGTGCCCTCTTCCTCCCTCAGAGAAAATCTATGTGTTTTTACAGTCCAGGTGAAGAACCCCGCAATGTTATTAACAAATCCAAGAGTTGCTTCAATAATAGAGCTCTCTGTTATATGGCACATAATTCTGTGCTTATAATTGTAAAGTTTTGGTTGGTCACAAGTTGAAAGGTATTGCATTTCTTTTTCCTGCGTGAAGTGCTTAAATTTACCATCACAGAGGTTTGGATGGGAATTCTGCTAAGGATGATTTTTAGAGCTCTGACATTCAAGGGGTTTTTGGCAACCAAAAATACAAAAAGAAGAAATGTATTAAAACGTTAGATTGTCAGAGATAAATAGGCAAGGCTTTTATTTTTCAGAATTAATTTGGAAGCTTCATATTCCTTTTCCTTTTCAATTTGATTCATTTTCTTCTGTGATCCTCAGCTGATCACTTTATTGGGTGCCATTTGGTCTTACCAATATTTGAAATTCTTAATTGCATTTTCTAGCTTTCTGACATTGTGTTTTTCTTCTTGACATTCACATAGTGTAAATATAGCTGTGTCCATGATGAATTCCATTTAGCAGACAATGCTTGACAGCCCTAGTAAATTCAGAAGGATCTATTCGTTCATCAATATGTGTGTATAATTTCCATTAAGCTCAATAAAATTTGTGTACAGCTGTAATAACTAGACTCTTTTTAACACTTCAGTGTCTTACCAGTTCCCAGGCAGGTTTCATCTGCAGACTGAGATGTCCTCTTTGACTTCTAAAGCTCTGGGGGGGAGAAGGGGGTGAAAGATAAGGAAGGTTTAATTTCCCTATGGGAGTAACTCAGCTGGGAGCGCCTCCTTGAGTGAGTCTTGGCTGGTACATCTGTCCCACTCACTGCTAGGACACTTTCCTAACCTGCATTGTGTGGTGGATCAGTACAGCCCTCGCACATTGCAGGCACTTGCTAGTTGCAGGATAGGAGCGCTCAGTCTTACAGATGTCCAGACCAGACAGCAGGGCTGTCTCAATGCTTGCTTTGAAGCTTTCTTTTATTCTGGAAAGGAAAGGGTAGGAGGAAGAGTAGAAGAGGGAAGCATCTAATAACTTCTTATTGTGCCCTAATACAATTTGACCATGTTTTCATTTCAAGGGCTTATATATTCAACTTGGATTTGTTGAATCATTCAAAGTGATGTTTCAAAAATATCGTTCAGGGAAAAAAAAAAAGTGTATTTTGGTTAGCTTATTTTGTAGGCCTTAAAATGCCTAAAGATCTTCGCAGTGATTTCTGTGTGACAGAACCAGTCAAATTTAGTGATCTGGTAGGCCCCAGCAGTGTTTATATTAAAAATAATTGCATTATTCTTGCACAACTCATTGCTGTTGCTGCATAGTTTAAATATTTTATGTAGTTTTTAAGGGTAGGTCCTATTCTGAGGTGGGGAAAATGCAATAATCTGTACCATTTCTTCCGTCTTAAACCACAGGGAAACTTTCCACTATTACCACTACTGAGATGTTCATCAATCAACCTGCTGAATCTTCCTGTTTTGGATTGCTTGTCTTATCCTTTAAAACTGCTTTTTGAAATGTGGGTGTCTACTTGTGAGCCACTTGAATACATTTTTGAAAGCCCCAATTAAAATATGCTGAAGTGTAAAGTTTGATCAATTTGAATCAAGTCAGATTTTGGTCCAGTGGAGGACTTCACTGAGTAGATGATATACAAGTATAAAAAATCTTGCTTTTGTTGTGCTTATTGGAAGCACCTTAAGGAGAGGGTATTTATTTTGCAAAATGGTCAGCTGAGTAGGTTTTTACATACCTACTCAGAAGTTGTTTGCTCAGGTGAAAATAAAGGCCACTCAATATTGAAAGGGTTACAGGATCTCAAGATGAAAGTGATACGGCTTTTTGCACATCATACCCAGATGTTTTTCTCTTTTCCGTGAATATATTCAGTCAGTTTCTGACAGTGTATCAGCACTGTTGCTTCTGCTGTAGCTAAAGACCAGAAAATGTAGGTCTGCAATTGTAAAAAGTGGTAAGATATGGAGCAGGAGGAGAATGGAAGATGCTAATAAGAAAGAAGTTACAGAGAGAGGTAAGATTGAATTAGTTCAATGGCATTGATTAATATTTGGTTCTTAGCTCATTCCAAAAAACTTACTTACGCTAGTGATTACTCAACATTAAGAAGTATCTATGGGTGTGCAGACTGGGGAGGGCAGGGCACAGGGCTCAGGATGATGCAGGAAGTAGATAGCAAATTCTCTGTGGGAACATATATTCTCTCAAAAAGAGCTAAGTGTGGTAACTTTTAGCATTCATAGTGCACTTTTTTATTCCACATTTGCTACAGACATATTGGCATTACTTCTGAGAAAACATTTAAAATATGGATGTATTAATATTCCATATTGATGTGGAAAGCAAGGGGAACGATGGAGAAGGGAGTATTATGGTAGTTGCGTAAGATTACTGAGACAGGTTTTCCCAGAACTGGCACATAAGCTTTGTCCTGTGCTGTGCTCAAACCTCTAGGCCACAGCTCTCCTGGGATATCACATATTATGTATGAATGAGTTTTCAAAGTGACCTAAAAGATAGATGCTGCCACTGAAAAGCAGTAGGACAGAGGATCTTAATATCCCATGGCCTTTCTGAAAATCTCATCTTGCAAGCAGTCTTAACCACTTCATCATACTCACTAAATAGCAGCAGATACTGGTTAACAGCATGTGTATTAGTTCTTGAAAAAAATTTTATCACTGATTTTGGGCACCTCTAAAGAAGTTATCTCTCTCCATTTCTCAGTCTTCTCTATATAGCATCTGAGAAATAATTGTTTTCATTTTTCTTTGCCTCACTGATGGTAGAATAAATAATCCAGGAATAACTCCCCACCCCCATTATTCTACCATATCTGGTGAGCAATAACTTTCAGTTCCGTCTGTTTAAGGGTGATGGAGGGAGGGATGGAAAGGGATGGAAAAGAGAAGGCAGATTCTTGAAACCCCTGAACTGTAAGGCTAGAATTCGACCTCAGTCATTGCTTTTAGGCAAAACCCGTAGCGCTGCTTCAATGCAGCTTCTGTCTGGCTCGCTCTCTGTGTGCGAATTCACTACCGGAGGGAAGCGTCTGCATGAGCGGCTCCTGCAGCCCCAGCTCTCCACAGGCGGGATGGTGCTCAGCCCCCCGGGACTAGGACCGCTCGGAAGACTTGCCTGCTGGGCGCCTGGCTGGCATCCCGGGAGGCCGGAGCTGGGAGCCTGAACCACCTCCGCCCGTGGGGCGCCCACGGCGGCGGAAGCCC